AGTTTTGATGTCATGGTGTTCAATTTATTTAGTAAAAAAAAATCAAAAATAACAAAAACTTTATTAACTCACACATCGAGGCTAACGATTAAGTCGATGAATAAATGAAATGTATTTGTTTAGAGTTTTGTGTCACCAGGATATTACCGTTTTTCTTGTCGTTGGAATTTCAATGTGCGGGCAAAAAAAATCCTATAAATTTTCCAATAATCGACATAGCAAGTTTGGCACCATTATTAATATTTCAATCATTTTATTTTTTCGGTTAATAATGTTGTTTATAACTATTAAAATTAATTACATGTTGTTTTCATAAAAAAAAATCTGAAAAGTCGAATTTATTCAGCGATATTTAGTGTACGCAAGCAAAAAAGTCCATCGCATTCATTTTCTGTTCTTTATTTTCCCGCAGCGGTGTTGAATTTTTGGGGATTTTGTGAAACTGCTTACTATCGACAAAAAAATTACGTTATATGCTCAAGAAAAAGTTGGCCAAAGATAAACACAATGAAAATTTGCTGATCATTGCTGCTTCGATGGAAGCGTTCTGTTCGTACCGACACAAGGGAATGCAGGAAAATGTTCTTTGAATTGATTTATGGTCCATTTTTTTATTTGCTTTATTCGGCACATTTTTCATACTTCTCAAAGTGATTTTACACCCAGAAAAGTTGGCGAAAATAATTCGAAATTTGTATAAATCGATTGACATAAACATATTTGCCATGCAGTTGGAAAAAGGTCAAACATAATATTTTTGTTGTTTATCATTTGGTTCGGGTGCCATTGGCCACAGAATGGGCGTGTATGTGAAATGAAACGAGAATTAAAGTGGCGTCGGTGCCACACACATAAAAAAAGATCATACGAAAACAAAAGAAAGAAATGCAGTTAACAAAGTAGTCGAGAAAGAAATGGTCCCATTGAATCGCTCTAATTAAGTGTTTTGAGAAAATAGCTAGAATGTGACCGAAATGAATAGAACACAATGGGTGTGAATTATAAATTATTTCGACAGCAATTGATAATAAATGCACACATCACTACAACTATTATTATTAGTTGATATTTGTGTGTATACACATTGTAGTTGTTTGGATGGCGGCCCATTGTTGTTCTTCTTTCTTTCTCTATTTCGATGCTGTTATGCTCTTGACTTCTTGTCAGTTATTTACTTTTTTTGAGTGCAACATTGCGGTCCGTTCAAAGAAGAAAGCAACCAAAAACAAAACAAATACATTCACATTTTACTATGGCAAAGGCAAAAAAAAAACTAAAGCATCTACACAATAAAATGTGCCGCAAACAAAATACTTTCTTATGCAGTTTTAAAGACGCGCAATCTTTTATTGCATGGAGAGTCACACTAGTGACTTGGTATCAAGCAATATTCAAAGTTGCTTCTCTCTCTCTGTCATTCTCTTAATCCCTTGTGAGCATGCAAGAGAGATAGAGATATAAAGACAGAGAAAAACTCGAGATCAGACACAAGCACATAAAAAGCGGTTCTCCCAACAAAAGTGAAACCATGGGTTTGATATTTTCTTTAAAAAATAATTCTCGCTTCTCCGCCAAGTGTACAAGGCTCAACAACGACCGTAACCATTAACAACAACGACAATAACGAAAACCCAAACATAAAAAAAAACAAAACGTATATATTGCAAATTGTGCTCTTTGCCACTTTATGCTTCTCTCTCTTACTCCTCTTATCATCCCCTTCTGCTTCTCTTCCGTCGAACTTCTTTTCTTTCTTTCATCTTTGCTGATTCTTTGTTCCTTTGTACTTAAACTCACATCGTACAAGAGGCAAAATGTTGTGATGATGGCACAATGTTTCAACTGCACATGAACAAAAACGGCAACAAATGAAAATTGGTTGTTCATTCATCAAAAAGAATAAGCAAAAGCGTTTTCCACAATATGCGTTGACGGAGGTTGCGGATGACAACAGCTGAGCAACCGTTTGACTTTTCACCAAAACCATGATAATTAGCGTAACTTAAACATGGAAACAACAATGATAAACAATGAACTTTAAGTGAACGCTTCATTTTCCCGCAATGTGTCATTTGTTCAATTTGTTCAAAGTCAATTTGTTTTGTTTTTCTTTGGCATTGCTTCGATAAGAGACTTCCGGCTCTTGCGTCCCCTTTTTTCACATATAAACTTTTCGATAACGGGGAATTATCAATAAGCAAATCAATGAATTATCAACTAGATAGAAATGCCTTTGTTATTAGTTAATTGATTTTTTGTCATTTTTTATACGAAACTCACATTTAATTTAATTTTAATGTTCGCGCCTTTTAATTTAACAAAAAAAAAAAAAACACTCATATTATTTGCATGTTTTTCTTCAGACGTCATATTGACAATTTATTACGTAACGTATCAATTGTGTGAATGAGATTTCAAATAAAAAAACCTCTGTCGAGTTGATCAAACCAAAATGAGAGAACACAACATTTCTGATATCAATTTTAATTTAAGTTGGGGTGCCCGAATCCTCCAAAAACCAAAAAGTGGTCATTCGGTCGGACACATACCGGACATTCTTGAAAATGGCTCTATTGCTTCTTGAAAATCTCACCCAATTCTAAAATTTTTGTTTTCAATTAGAGCAAGTAGCTCACGAAGTATACGCCGTAACTTATACTACATGTTACCCGATTACATTGAAAAGCTACTCGATTCCATAGGTAAAATCAGCTACTACCTAGACCAAAACCACACGCCAAAACTTAATGATTTCTGAAAAGTGAAAATGTGTTTTACAAATCTTCAAATAGTAATTTAATTTACTTTCTGGAGTTAATTGATATTTTTATTGATAGCTCATTTTTAAAAATTTATTTTTCATAGCAAAATTGAATCATTTTGACATTTTCATTGATATGACATATTGATATTTGAAAACGGGCTTACTGTATGGCATGCTTCAGAGATAACGACAATAATTCACATCGCATGAGGCTTAGGGCTGTGTATCTTTTTTTTTTTTGAATTATTAGTTGTTGTACTTTTCCATGTCATGTCCACATTTCGTAGCATCATGCATCAACGATTTGTGCCAGTTTCAAGTGCTGCTTTTCGTGGTGTTGCTTTTAGATCCCTCTATTCATTTTCTCTCACTCTCGTTCATTCACTCATTCACAATGGCGCGACATCACGGTGTATTCCCTGGTCGCGGCCACAACATGTAAATTCATTAGTTTTCCGTTTAGGTTGACTCGTTTGAAATGAATCCAAAAGTGACAAGCATTAATTTGATTACAGTAAAATCATTTTTAAGTGGGTGCAAGTTTGACGGGGACTCAGCGGCAATCCACTTTTTTACCTATTCAATCTTTTCTCGCTTTCGATCCACATTCATGCCAATTATCAACTTCAAAAAGTGCCCTAGGCTCATTCACACATACATACAATTACACATAAAACTTGATTTTACAAAGGATTTGCCAACCATTTAACGCAATGACATTTGAAATTGTCGTTCGCAGATAATTAAACATTGAAAACATTGACATTTATTGAAAGTTAGTTTATGTGTCAAGTGTAAGATTAATTTTCCGTGAGTTTGTTCTCGCATATCCAAAATGCATTATCGCACGGTGCGATTCGCACACCGGTGTGACTTTAGGCATACATGAGAAATCTAAAATGCACACAGAACAAAGACATGCCCAACTCACACACACACTCACTCACTCACACACAAAACGGTTTGCGAAAACTGGTGGATGAAATAACATCAATAATTCAACAGGAATTGCTGCTGTTGTGCGAATGCCATAAAATTTGATGGTGTGTTTAACTATAATTACTCTTGGTTGTTACATCTATCGTCACATGTCGTTTGCATTGCACACAAACCATTCTCCATCACTCAGTCATTCGATTTGCTCACGAGCCATCACATTTGCTGATGGACGAAATGAACAATTGAGCACACAGATTTTTCATCAAACTCTCAACAAGACGAAAATGGTGAATGGTAATGAGAAGAAGTGGATAGAGATAGAAAGAGCCGAAAACAAATTGATAGTTTCGACGAAATGGTTTATTGCGTTCAAATGCATTCGATGCAATGTTGCCAATATCGGGTGCGCTTAACATTATATTCACTTTTTGATTAGAAAATGTTACCGATTGCTAGATTAATGACTTCCCCAAAGCAGCGGCAGTCAGTATAAAACTTAAACTATTCGATGCTCAGAATGCCTGTCCACGCCACGTATACATAGACGCTGATCGGTGCATTTCCAAAATTGAAAATCCACACATACACACGTTTTCTACTGAATTATTGCTCTTTGCATTAATGGAGACAATGATAAATGACCTAATGCAATAAATTCACAGATGATCTTCATATGTCGTTGCAAATGCGCGCTGGTGGGTGTGTGTGTGTGTGTCGATTATCTCAATAACTGCCTAAAAACGAACAGCAAACCGGTTGCACCGCAACAACACACATCCATTCAGATATAACATTTCCGAATATTTTGAGATGAATTATATTTTCAAAATCATGAACAGACTTTACATTCGACGTCTTTTTCTTTCAATCAATCACATTAACCATCGACAATAAAGATTTTAATTTTTGGTGTGCGTTTGATTGTGAACAACTCGATCACGCATACACGTCTCTCTCACTCTCTATTTTTCATTCATTGCCTTTTGCTCTCGGTTCATTTATTCATTTTCACCAAATTTCCTGTTGAATCGTCAATTTCAATAAATCAATGGGTCCCATTACTTTTACTTTAAATGAATTGGTTTTCGTTGCATACGCTCGACAACTTTTAAATATACAATAGAATGAACGTAATTCCGGTTTTAATATATATATGAATTTATATGTCGAAGAAAATATTCAATAAAAAAAAATTAACAAAAAAAGTATGATTTTACTGATGCAAAAATGGTATTTTAATTAATTAAAATGTTACGCAATGATTTTCATTTACACACACAAATGATTACAACGTTTTTATGATATTTTTTTTAATTGCATTGAAATTAATATTTTGGAACATATAAATTGAGGCTGAATTTTTTTAAAAAAAGCTCACGATTATGTATCAACCATTTTCAGACTTTTTTCCACAGCGGGTGTTGAGGGAAAAAAGGTTTTCGCTTCGTTGATTATGTCTTTTGTTATTAAAAAATTGGCTTGGGATAAATTCTCAACAATGTCAAAATGATCGGTGGTTTCTATCATAATTAAACGAAACTTTGGATACAAATAATGCGCGAGTATCCGTTCTATGCAATACGATTGGCCTACCAATTTTGGTGCATCCTTTGAACCAACATACATGTGAATCGCTGTTACACTGTTTCCTTCTGATGCTGCCACTGTAATCCATTTATCGAAGTCAAATAGGATCGGTGACAGGCGTAATACATTGTTTTCATCAAGCGACAAAATATTATTCGGATTGACCGTTGGCATGTATCGAAGCTCGCAAATATCGTACACACCGGATATCAAGTACAATGATTTTACAATGGATGTCAACGACGGTGATTGTTGCACGAGATTATCATACAAGCATGCGGCCAAATGACCACCAGCCGAATGACCACCTATCTGTACACATCTGAAAGAAGAAAAAAAAATAAAATCAATAGATTGCAGAGTTGTTAACGAACCGTTGAATAAAAAAAAATCTCAATTCAAAACTGAATTGAATGTTCTACACGTTTCCCATGAAAAGGAAGGAACATTTTTTTAAACGAATCAGGCAAAAAACATTTTGAATGAACTGAAAAAAAAAATCTTTACGTGTTAGTCTGAACTTTCATTGACTTTTGAGCGAAAATGTCTTAGTTTGTTCAGGTTGACAACTCAAATATTTGGATGCCTTTTTTATGAAAAGGATATGATGTGATGCCAAAAAACGTTTTTTCTCTCGCTAAACAAATAATTAAAGAAAAAAAAACAAATTGCCTTGTTCCAATGGACTTCGCATAATTTACGATCGAAATACCAGCTCGATGGATTTGATCAACCAATTGTTCCAATGTAACATTTGGGCAAATGTCGTAATCCAGCACAATCACTTTGTGTCCGGCTTTATACAATGGTTCCACCACATATGCACTAACCGTTTTGTCTAATGCCTGCCAGTAGCCACCATGGATATAAACAAAAACAGGAGCATCTGCAAAATCAGACGAAAAGAAATTAAAAATCAAGTAAAATTCACAGACACCAGTACTGTACGAACAAATAATGTTGAAAAAATATTTATTGATGAAATACTCGCCGAATTCAAAGATGAACACATAAATTATAAAAATATTAATGAACAACAATAACAAATAAAAAAAGAATTAACGGCAGCCGAATGTAGAAATGAAATTAAATGTAAACAACACTCGTTTTGATTGCATGTAAAATGATTATTTTATATTTGTTTGAAAATGTTTCGATCGTATCGTACTATATATTTTTCGCTACAATAAAATTGTTGTACCATTTGTTATTTTTTCTTTTTTTTTTGCAAAAGAGTATAAGTCATTTACTTTGATGCAAATGAAACAAAAAACAAATGTGGTGAAAAAAAAGCAAATTAAAATATGCAATAAGAAAAAAAGCAATTTAATACCTTTGGGTAAATCAATGCCATAAATATCGAATGTTTCATTCGTAAATCTTTCTCCGTATTTTACTGTCTCGAATGAGATTTTACTTCTTATTCGATCACTTTCTGCAACGACATTTTTGCATACATCCAAAACAGCCATCAGAGTGAAAGCGACGAGTGATTTTGTATATAACGTCAGACCAGAACGAAGGAAAAACACCAAACAAAATGAAAAAGAGTAGAAAGATAATACATTTGAAATAAAAATAAAATCGAATATTACCACACAACAACAAATTACGACAACAAAAGATTTTGTGTGTGTGTGTGAGTGCAAGAGATATTCTTTTCCCCTTTTGAACAACAATAACAACAAAATAGTCTTCCAATGTTATTCACAGACAATATATTGAACTAACTGGTCAGTTGAGCTGACAGTACGTTAGCCAGCTAAATGGGCCAAAACAATAGAAGCTATTGTTATAATGAACAATGACTACAATTAAAAGAAAAAAAGTGATTCATCATTAAAACAATAACCTCTATTGTTTTAGCCCATTTAGCTGGCTAACGTACTTTCAGCTCAACTGACCAGTTAGTTCAATATGTTGTCTGGTTATTCATTTCTTTTTTACAATCGACATGAAATTTATACTTGAATTTCCTTAAAATTCCATTTTTTTTTTCTCGAATAAATACACTAGAAGCAACTTTGCCTTCGATTTATATGCGACATTTCAAAAGCAAACCATCTTGTTCAACAAGACTTATTTTTTTCTCACTCATTCTCTGTTTCTTTTGCTCCCTGCTTTTGGCAACACACAAAATTGCTCAGTTTTCAATTTTATTTCTTTGCTTTTCTACTCAATAAACAATCTGTGTGTTTACACATTTTCGAATTCATTTCAATGACATTTTTTGATGCTATTTAAGTTTATTTGTTTTCATCATTCAATTCTCAGTTTATATTCAATACTTCCATTTACCACTTCAATTTAATAAAATTGATAATTCAACTGTAAATTATGATATTTTAATTGCAATTTTGTCAAGGATGCTGAAAAAACGAACACAACGATTTTTCATATGAAAGCAATAGTTTTTTTGTACGCAAAAAGCGTGCATTTTACTAGATAAAAATGATGTGCACAATGATGAAAACTAGGTTACATTTAGAACGACTTTGCTATCTCTGATCATTCGCTGCCATCATTGTCGTTGTCAACACACCAACTCCAAACCCAATATATAGCATTAGTCTCAAAGGCACAGTGAACCGATCTTTGTTTTGTTGATTCATATTAATTTTGCAGTTCAATTTATGGACTACATTCATTCGATATCATGTGCACATCTCCCATTCATTCAATCGGAACGAATCGAATTGAGTCGTATACAACTGCTCATTTTCTCCATTTGTTCTGTTACATTTTCAATGTGTGCAACTGTGCACACAGCACATATACACACACACAATTATATATATTCAAATGCATTTCGATTGCACTGACCGGCCTGGATTTCTTTTTTCTCCATTCATTTCTCTCGTTTTATGTTTCGCCAATGCATATGTGAATTGCATCGAGATATTTGCTTTTTTTCAGATCTTCTTTGGGCTATCATCGTTGCAATTCGAACGATAAGATGTAAAATCGAATTTGTAACTTTGTTACAAAACTAAAACTAAATAAATTATGTTGCACAAAAAGGTACTTAAAAATCATATGAACAAAAAAGAAAATAGAGCAAAATTACAGTTGATTATATTTTATGTTAATGCATTGAAAGAAGAAAAATCAAAATTGGAATTTTCGAATGAAAAAAAAAAATGGTAAAATTCGTCGAAAAGAGACTCTTTTGCATGTTGCAATCGAAAAATTTACAATATCGCAAAGCGTTCACTCGAATGTAATGTACACATATCCAAATATTTGCCAATGTAATGTCACTATGGAATTAACGTTTGAAGAGAGAAAGAGAACGACAACAAAATATTGAAAAGAAATGAAAATTCTTACCACTTTTCGAAAAAGCAATGTGCGCACTCAAGACTTGTTCCGATGTTGGATAACGTTCCGACCAAAGCGATGGTTGAAACAATTTGGCCAACGATTCTATATCAAATCGATTGTTCATTCTGCTAGTGTCACTGCTGTGCTGCCGTCGACGATTTTCTTCAGGATAGCTAGAATTGCTTGCACAAAATGATGGCGCAACAAAATGAGGTAAACTTCCACACCGGGACCTCGAGCGAAGAACTCCAAAAAAAAAAAAAAAAAAACAACAAACACAAAAACGAGCAACCAAAAGTTTTCAGCTGAATGCAATGTGTGACACCGATATGCTTGTGTTTTTTACTGCTGCTATGGATGCTTCTGCTCTCTCTCTCTCTCTCTCTCTCTCTCTCTCTCTCTCTCTTATTTTTCTTATGCCAGCGTTGTTTTTATTCGCCTAGTGTGTTATTTATCGTTTGTTCTCCAATTTTTCGTCGCGCTCTTTTCAATTTTCGTTCGATTCCTGTTTTATTGCAATAAATACGAGGATTTATTATATAAAATGCAATGTTTGTCCATTTGTTTGTTTATATGTACTGAAATTCAAGCCAAAATGTGTTCGCTATGTGCTCTGAATTTTTTTCGTCGGTTCGTTTAAATCTCTTTTTTGTGTGTGTATGCTCTTCACCCAATTATATTTTTCGGTGGTCGCTCCTCAGTTCATTCTTGATTGTATCTTTTCGGATTCCGTTCAATATTTCCTTTGCCGTTTCTTCTTCAAACCAACACAAAAAATAGCAACACAGTATTTTGTTTGAAAATCAATTTGAAACTAATTTCGTTGAATTTGTTTTTCTGATGCGATGTTTTACGAACGCGTTAAGCAAATCGGTTTTAAATTCACAATCAAATGTGTTTAAGCACATGGGACACATACCATACTCACAGTGACAACACAGATTAGACAAATTGAATAGAAACTGCAGTGAGACGAGAATCCAAATGGTGTTCATGTATGTTTCAACACTAATGACTAAGTGATAGCGTCGCAATGAATTCACAATTATACATTATATGTCGCGTACACACACACACGCCAATCGAAATAGAATTAGATTAAGTTGTCTAGCGACGACAATAACTAAAAAAAGAGACAATAAATACAATAATCAAATAGTGTGCTGAGTTGTATTTAGTAAATACTATTTACAATAAGTAATGGAAACGGCAAAAGTCACATAAGTTGACTAACTGTGAGTCAAGCGATAAAGCAAATCGACTAGTTTATCAGTATTTGATACTGAATTCTTTGTTTTCGCTTCACAAACAATGAAACGAATGAAACACAATTGAATTGATGGTTTGCGTACGGCTTTTGAAAATAAACTGAATTTCAGCGCCAAAATAATATAATAAATAATCAGTAAAAAAAACCGTGAAGCCCTTTAAATTCCACGTGTCATTGAACTACCGCTGAAGCTGAAAAAAAGAAGAGATGTACTACGTATTGAATGAAATGAAAAAGTGTAATAAAAAATAAACGATGATTGAATCGATCACGTTGTCACAGAGTCTGCTATCGTATTTATTATGAGTTGGATGTTTAAAACAGGGATGAGTAATTTGATGTATGCGGTATTAAAGTGTGTCTCAAATATACAATTCAAGCGACTTTTTCCCAACAAAGTTTTCACGACGACGACGACGATGATGACAACGAACGAAATGCAAAAAGAGCAAATGAATCGAAGAGCAGTAAAAAAAAAGAATTACAAGACGAAGCCAGTCAATGTCAAAGTTTTACGAGAGATCGATGATGTTCTAAATGTATCCTTAGCACGTAGAAAGGTCACACAGTGTTTCGATGCGCTCCGTTCGCATGGATATATGTTCTATTGAAATGAACACGGACACGCTCGAAATAACTTTTAATAATGTAGATTTGTGAGTGCATGCATGTGTTACTATTCGTCGTTGTCGTCGTCGACTCATAGTTATCGCCTTTTCTCTCTCTCTTTTCCACTGCCATGCATGTCATATTTCATTTGGTAATAATTTTCAGCAGTTGGAAAACTACTTGCCTCATCTCATTATTATATTACATCGAAACGCATGTATCTTATTTCACATTACGAAAAATGATATGTGAGCCAAGGTTCTAATTTCTAACACATCGTTTTCGGTGTTCGTTTTTCCCTCTTTCTTTGCGGTTCTGCTTCATGGTGTATGCGTGTGCAAGTGCGTATGTTTGGGTTGACTAAAAAAAATCTTTTGTTCGACATCCACATCGAAAATTACGTTGCTTCGCTTTTTTTCCGTTGTTAAGACGTTTTTTTTTTCATCAGGACATTATCAAATATATATACGATGGTAGTGTTGGCGTTTCTATTGAAAATGGATTCTTTCACACATGCGAAATGTATAAGTATATATGTTTCGATGGAACTTGAGCAGTGCGGTGACAATGGTTACACAAATGCAATATAAAAACGGATTTGAAATCGTAAGAATGTGCGCGGCGCATTTTTGGTCTTGCGTATCTCTTTGACAACGAAAAAGTGCCAACCATCTATCGATGTGAAAAAATTCCATATTTGAGGCGACACAAACCAATTCGGCAAAAGACAAATACATGACATAGACAACAACGACGACAACGAAGACAATAGCAATGTGAGCGCAAAAAGAAAAGAAAAACACCGAAATTTTTGACGGAAAAGTACATACGAAACATTGTGAACTCGTGTAAGCAATATGTTTTGCGAAGTATTTTTTGCTCTCTTTCTCTCCCTTTCGCTGCCTCTTTGCTTTTTTCGCACAACAATTTTTGCTCCATTTTGGATCTTTTTTGTTTGTTTGCTTTTTTTCTTCCTTCTTGATCCCATTCCTCTTGAAGACACGTAAGCCATAAATAAATAAGATATGGTGTATAGTTTGCTTTCAAACACCAGTGTTCGCGCTGCCAACCAAATACCAATTCAAACTTCAAATAGTAACACAGTGAGAAAGAGAGAGCGATTGCCAAAAGTGACAAAGAAGAAGGGAAAAACGGCGGAAGGAACAACAAGCAAGCAGCAAAACGAAAAAAAATAACAAGAACCGATCAGAGTAAAGTGGTAATGTCATGTTAAAATTTATTGACATTTTATTGATCAAGTAATGTAAAATTGTGCACCACTTGTTCGCGCATTTTTATCGTTTTTATATCAACGCACTCGGGAGACCAACTAAATAAGGGAAAAAAACAGAATTGGAATAAGCAAATAACAGCAACTCCAACCAACACATACATCAGAAATAAGATTGCAAGGATACACTGGATAAAGGATATTTCGAAAGTTTCCGTTTTAGGCCGCGGCTCAACTACTTTTGATAACTGCATTTAAAGTCGAAAATTGATCTTTTTAACCCCATTTATTATATCGGGAATATTCGCAATACAATTCACTTATTTTTTTATATAACTTATTGTAGTATAAACTCTACGACTATTTAATACAGAAATTAGCGTTTTTGTTACCTTTAGGAACTATTTTATTCTCAGCATTTAATAGCCTGGCAACTTTATACAAACAAGTTTTTAAAGTCACAAGAGAGTGTCGAGTACATTTTCTTTTATTCATATATTCTATACTTTATTCATATTTCAAATATCATAGCTATAAAGCCAAATCGTTTATATTTCACGCAGTGATCATACCATCAGGAGGTACTTATGATTAGTGCAATCGATATTTGGTATTCGCTTGAACTTAAATTGAAAGACTCTTGATGTGGTACGCAATGTGATGGTCGATCTCTTTTGTTGTTTACATTTTTTAAGAGCTTAATATTTATGCAAGTTATTCCAAGTATCAGGCTGTCTACTCATTACTACACTGTGGCCAAGTTTTTTTGGAAGTGAAACAAATAGTTTTTTTGTAGAGTGGTCGATTTTCAGTGAAATTTAGATGTATTCTCATTATTACACTGAATCCGCATCTTTTCAGGTTTTAAATAAGTGTACAATATTTGGACAAATAGAAACAGTCAATATTTTCTTCAGATTTGCACAAAAAACTTTTCAAACATCATAGTGATTAAAGACAGCTCAAAACAAATTAAAGGAGAAAAATACTAAAATGTCAATCACTTTGAGTACGTACAATGTATATTATATATTTAGTTATCTATCAGTCTCTTATAATACTAAAAAATGAATCTTGTTAAACTAGCACATTTTTTTGATTTCAATAGCATTTGAGACTAAAAAAAATCGAAAACCATACACAAAATGGGTGGGGAAAACTGTCGATTTCTTTTCATAGAATAACGATTCAACTAAAATATAGCGTAACAAGTGCAATGTTCGACTTCTGTATGTTGGTATTATACAGAATTCTATTAACTCATGACTCATGAAGTCAATTTAATACCAAGATCTTATTTAAAATTTCATCCGTTGTCCGGTGAGGCCTGTTCGGCTTTCAAGCTTTTGCCAAGCGCTTTAATATATTTTGAACCCCCAAGTGAAATCCAATCAAAAGTCACATGGGACAAGTGGAAAGTTGGAAACATTGTAATAGTTTGAACTCACTTCAGTACTTCTCGTATGTCTCATCTACACTTTTCTGTTCTAGTTTCCTTTTACCAACTATTCGACATTAGTAAATATTAAAGGGGCATCGATGCGCCGATTTAATCTCTTCCTCTCTCTCACACACATACATACACATAACCTGACCGTACAAATATAGCAATATCCCCATTTGTGTATTGCGTCCGTCTAACCCATCAAACAAATTTTATCAATTTCATCAGAGAATTCAAATTTATTTTTGTATAATGCTATTTCCATCACGTCGTTTCGCTTGATGCAACCAACAACATTTTCTTATAAATTTCACGAGTTTAGCGTTTTCTTCTCTACATACATGTTTTTTTTTTTTTGGAATACACAACGTATGTTATCGTTCATGCTGCAAATCAACTTATCCATTGTTGTTGTTGTGACGAAAGATGGATGCTCAACTTATTTCACGCTCGTTTAGTATAGCGATAACAAGCGACACAGCTTATCGTTTTGATAGCATAATAATATTTGAATGCGAATATCAGGAAAATGTGGCATCGACAAATAAGTGCAATGGTTCGGTCATTGCATGGGAATTTGAAACGATCCAAAAAAATTGGGAGTTAAAAAAAGTACCATTTTTTATATATAAATTACGAATCAATATTTGCAAAGCACTTAAGCATCGCGTTTTTTCCCTTTCAAATTTAATTTCAAGAAAATGTCAAATACATTAAAGTGAAATTTTCCTAATCAATGTCATGGCAATTTTTTCCTTCCACCCATCATAAAATGTCAATTACGCCGTGCATAAATGAACGAAGGAAAAAAAAACATATACTAAAAAAAAGTGGTAGCTATGAATAGATTGTTGTGCAATTTCAGGCTGTTTCTTGATCAATTTATATATTTTGCGCTTATGAAGAGGGAAAAAAAGTGTTGGCGACACTCGATGGAGTGAGTTTTAAAATTAAAAAAAAAAACGTACCGCCCGCCTGTATTTATGCTTTTTGAATGTGGTCATCTATATTGTTGTGTTGAAGTCGTGAAGCGCACGACTAACTACGGGCAATTTTTATATTCATTTGACATTGATCATGAATTATTAGCTGTTTGCATCATCTTTTTTCTTTTCGAAACACTTTTTTTCCGTGAAACATGAGAAACTCTGTAATGAACAATTCGAAGAAATAAAGCCATTGAAATTTTTAATTTAATTTTCTTTTTTCCCGAAACTTATGTTATCTTGTGTTGCTTCTCAAATTCGCATGAATTAATCGTGCATTATAAGTTGTGCACAGTTAGTGAAAGAGATTGAAAACTGTGGTAATCAACTTTACATGAATGCGACTAATCGATAAAGACAAGTTAAACGTG